CGCCCGCCGCCGGAACTTTCTTCCCGGCCCGAGATGTCGTCTTTGCCCCCAGAGCCGCGGGCGCGCCTCCCGTGCCGGCTCGCCGTCTTTCTCGGCGGCCACCGAGTGCCCCGGGGACGCGCGCTTTGGGGGGCGTGGGGACCCGAGGCGCGGGGGGCATTCTGCTGCCTTCGGGGAGACGGGCGAGTGTGGCCAGCGCCTCCTCCCCCGCCGGGCCGCGGCCCGCACGTCCGGCGACCCAGCCCCGACGACGCCCGGAAAGCCGCCTCGGGGAAGTTTCGGGGCTCCCCGTTGTCCTGCGAGGGGAAGGGAGGACTGTGGGAGAGTCGTGCGTGCGGCCGCTTTCTTTGTGTGTTTACGTATGGGAGGGGCAAGGTTTGTTTTGGTGTCGGGAGTTGGTTTCTGGGGGCGGCGGGGCGGTGCGGAGTTCGTCCTGGTAACCGGGATCCTGGTCAGTTTCTTTGTTTTTCTTTTCTGCCTCTGACCTTCCGTTGCTCCCGGCCCTGGGAAGATTAGGAAGTACTCTGGAGCCAAACGTGGACCCTCTCCGAAGCAGTCTCACCTCAGCAGTCCTTCCTCCCTCCTCCTCACGTTGTCCTAAGGAGGGTAATGGGAACGGTTGTTCCTTTTTCTTTTAATAATTTTTTTTTTTTTTTTTAAGAATCTGGCCTTGTCATTGAAAGTACCCCGAACGCACCTGTTTTTGAACTGGAGTTTGCCAGACTTGTTAAAGCCTTTTACTAATTTATGTTGCAAAACTGAACACGTTTTGTTTGCCCAATCTAAGTTAAAGTCCGGGAGTTTGTTTCTGGTGGAGTTCCGGAGAAAACCCCGATGGCCTTTGAAGTATTTATGTAATGATTTGGGGAAGGGGATCAGTGACTCAGTTTGGTGATTATTCACCGCGTTATCGTAGGATGACCTTGGAGAAGCAAACCTTTAGGGAGCAGGGCCTTTGGAGACCGAGGGAAGCTGGGGAGGAAGCGGCTCATGAAGGTGACTCGGGGTAATGGCTGGCTAACCCTGCTAGCTTCTTCCCAGTCCCCGTGAACTGGGGTTGACCTTCTAGTTACCCCTCCTGGATTTTCTTTTCAAGCTAACCTTTGTGTGTGTGTGTGTGTGTGTGTGTGTGTGTGTCTCCAGGCATAGCTGAAAAATTATGCTGGTTTGACACATGGATGCTTCTTTGGTATTTGGGGTTTGCCTGCAGTCTAGACATCCGATAAGCACCACCATATCTGTTGCTTCTTTCCTGATTTCTCCTGCATTTGAATTATGTTTAAGGATTAGAATCTAAAAGTGGTCATTACTGGGAAATAATAATATCCTAAGATGCCCTGCCCCCACCCCACAGCGAAAACATCAATACAAGTTGAAATCCATTTTTTTCTTTTTATTGTTTTATTATTAAATAAACACATTTCTTCCAAGTCTTTGTTGACCAAATTACAATACCAAAAGGCAACCAATATTAGTACATTTCTAAAGTGTTAGTACGTTTCTGAAGTAAATAGAAAGCATGTCAAAATGAAAAACTTCGAATTTAATAACTTCGACTTTCCTTTGGGCAGTTATTTTTCTGGGTCTTGTTTTTATTTATTTTATTTTATTTTTTTGAGTTGGAGTCTCACTCTGTCGCCCAGACTGGAGTGCAGTGGCCGCTCCTGGCCACCGCAGCCTCGACCTGCTGGGCTCCAGCGATCCTTCCGCCTCAGCCTTCCAAGTAGCTGGAACTACAGGCGCGCTACCACTCCCAGCTGACTTTTGATGTAGAGATGAGGTCTTGCCAAGTTGCCCAGGCAGGTCTCGAACCCGCGGACTCAGGTAATCCTACTCACCTCAGCCTCCCAAGGCGCAGGATTACAGGCTGAGCCACCGAGCCGGTGGGGTCTTGTTTTTAAAATGCAAGGTGCTTTGTAAATACACTGAGATACTTTGGCTTGTTTTTCTTAATTAGTACTTTAGAGCCGAGTTATGGCTAGAATTTCAGTATCCTGGGAAATTTCAATACAACATATAGAGTTTAATGGTTGGTTTTTGTTTTAATAATCAAATGATATGTACAGTGCACTTGGTTTATCAGGGTGAATAAGTTGAAAATGGGAAAGAGACAGGGTCACTACTGCCTTCTCTTTGTATTGCTTTTGTGGGAAGTTGGAGATGTAAAGTTCAATAGGTAGTATGTTCTAGAACCTTGGTGGATAGCAGCTTTAATTCTTAATTCTGAATATCTGGAACCTAGATAGTCAGGTTTTTTTCCCCCCAAAATTACCATCTGGTTCTGGGAAAACTTGACTCATGGGGCTCAAACTTGGGCGTATTTATGTCAGAAGAGTGATTTGAGAACCATTTTACATGTAAACGTTTTTTCACGGGGGGG